GGAGATTCTCACATAAATTTATGATGTTCAGCAACTTGCAGAGCCAAGTTTTATGTATATCTAATATGATTAGTAGTCTTCTGCAGGGAACCTACAGTTTGCCTTATTTCTGTGTCCGTGTTGCTCCTGGTTTTCTTACCTATTTACTATTAATGGTTGCTTTTCTCATTTTCTTTATTATCTTAAGTATTTTCAAGGAAAAAGATGGCTCTCCTGCCTAAAGTATTATGTAACTGTAAAACTGTACTGAACATAGCATGTTTGAAAGGCACTGAGTAGTATAGGTACATCTTATTCTGGAAAATCTATTCTTGGAGCTATCCTGATGTGTCTAAATGTGAAACAAGGACACTCCTCCAGATGCTTGAGACTCAGTGGAAATTGAATGCCGTGTTTAGATGGATGGAAGCTTCATCAAAGAACAATTTACAGCCTAATTGTAGGATAGTGTTCCAGACTGACAAGTTCTGAAAGATTTGTGATATTCATGTGTGGGGAGAGGTGGGAGGGATGAAACTTAAGATTTTTTTGCTTGTTAGTTTTAGCATATGTTAAATATTTCAGTCTGTTTATGGCTTGACATCTGATTTGTTGCTAATATACTTCCAAAGCCAGGGAAATTTGTGGTGTGATAGGCTTTTTTCCAGCTTGGTTGTGGTGTGGGTTTGGTTTTTTTTTTTTTGGTGTGTGTGTTTTTTGTTTTGGTTCCTCTCCATTGCTTCCTTTATCATTTTAGAGTATATTGGACTACTCAGTGGTCAAAGCTTTAAGCCAGAGAAGAAGCAAAGTGGCAAAGAAGAATGTCCATTTTTCTGAAAATCTGAAATTCACATAAAAGCTACCTTGAAGTAGAATATTGTGTGTGTAAAGAAATTATTGTCAAGAAATACTTCTCCACTATGAATGGAACTATTTATGTCTTATTCAGAGCTACACATGCTTGGAATGGATTTTAAAACGCATTGTTTAATAAGATCCCCAAATTGACTATATGGTAAGTAGATCCTAAACAATGTTATGGTTCTACATCATTAGAATTATTGGAAAAGATCTTTAAGATCAAGTCCAACCATCAATCTAATAATACCAAGTGTATCACTAAACCATATCCCCAAGTGCCACATCTACACATCTTTAAAATATCTCCAGGGATGGTGACTCAGCCACCTCCCTGAGCAGCCCCTTCCAAGAAAAAACACAAGGTTTATCAGTTGGCCTCGGCCCACTGATCCAGCCTGTCCAGATCCCTCTGCAGAGCCTTCCTGCCCTCAGTCACATCAACAGTCCCACTCAACTTGGTGTCATCTACATACTTACTGAGGGTGTGCTCAATCCCCTCATCTAGGTCACTGACAAAGATGTTAAGCAGAACTGTCCTCAGTACTGAGCCCTGGGGAACACCACTTGTGATTGACTGCCATCTGGATTTAACTCCATTCACTAACTCTTTGAGCTCGGTCATCCAGCCAGTTTTTTACCTAGCAAGGAGTGCACCCATCCAAGTCACGAGCAGCCAGTTTCTCCAGGAGAATGCTGTGGGAAACGGTGTCAGAGGCCTTACTAAAGTCTAGGTAGACAACATCCACAGCCTTTCTATCATCCAGGAAGCAGGTCACCTTGTCCTAGAAGGAGATGAGATCAGGTTCATCAGGCAGGACCTGCCTTTCATAAAGCTTTGCTGAGTGGGCCTGATCACATGGTTGTCCTGTAGGTGCCACGTGATGGCACTCAAGATGCTCTGCTCCATAATCGGGCACTGAGGTCAGACTGACAGGCCTGTAGTTCCCCAAATCCTCCCTCCGGCCCTTCCTGTAGATGGGAGTCACATTTGCCAACTTCCACCCAACTGGGACCTCCCCAGTTAGGCAGGACTGCTGACAGATGATGGGAAGTGGCTTGATGAGCACTCTGCCAGCTCCCTCAGTCTCCTTGGGTGGATTCCATCCAGCCCCATAGACTTCTGTGTGTTGACGTGGTGTAGCAGATCTCTAGCCATTTCCCCTTGGATTATGGGGGTTTCATTCTGCTCCTTATCCCTGTCTTCCAGCTTGGGGAGTTGGGGACCCAGGGAATAACTTTTTTATTGTCTTTTACGGCGGTAGACAGATTATGTTCTAGCTGGGCTTCGGCCCTTCTGATCTTCTCCCTGCATAACCTCGTGACGTACTTGCAGTCCTCCTAAGTTGCCTGTCCCTTCTTCCAGAGCTCATGAACTGTCCTTTCTTTACCCTGTGTTCCAGCCAAACCTCTCTGTTCACGGGGTCGCCCCTGCCAGCTCCTCTTCTGGCACTTGGGGATGGCCTGTGCCTGCACCTTTAAGATTTCCTTCTTGAAGCTTGTCCAGCCTTCCTGGGCTCCTTTGCCCTCAGGACTGCCTTCCAAGGGACTCTGTCATCCAGGCTCCTAAACAGGCCAAAGTCAGCCCTCTGGAAGTCCAGGGTAGCATTCTGCTGAGCCCCCTTCTTACTTCTAGAATCAAAGAACCTATAATTCTGTGATCGCGGTGCCCAAGATGCCCTCCAGCAATCACATCCCCCACCAGTCCTTCTCTGTTCACAAACACCAGGTACAGCAGGTGCATTCCCTCATTGGCTCTCTCACCAGCAGTGTCAGGTGCTTACCTTCCACACACTCCAGGAACCTCAGAGGTTGTTTCCTCTCTGCTGTGTTGCATTTCCAGCAGATATCTGCTAAGTTGAAGTCCCCCAGGAGAACAAGGGCTAGCGATTGTGAGGCTTCTCCCAGCTGCTTAATCCTGGTTGGGTGGTCTGTAACAGACTCCCACCATGACATCTGCCTTGTCGGTCTTCTCCCTGCTTCATACCCACAAACACGCAACCCTATCGTCACCATCATTAACCTCTGGATAAAGCGCTCCCTGACGCACAGGGCTGACCCCACTGCCTCTCCTTCCGTGCCTGGCCCTTGTGAATAGTTTGCAGCCATCCATTGCAGTGCTCCAGTTGTGTGAGTCATCCCACCGTGTTGCCGTGATGGCCACTGTATCATCATTTTCCTATTGCTCAATGACTTCCAGCTCCTCCTGTTCGTTGCCTGTGCTGCGTGTGTTGGTGTAGATACTCTTCAGTTGGGCTACTGATCTTGACACCTTTTTAGTGGGAGAAGCACTAGTTCCTACGTGACTGTTCTGGGACGCTTATGTGGTTTCTAACACCTCAGTAGGCCTTGTGTCATTGTTGTCACATGGCTCTTCATCCCCTGCCTCCACTGATACAGCAGTCCAAGGGACCTCGTTACCACACCATCCCTCAAACATTAGAGTGCCACCCCCAAGGCGTATCTCTAGTAATTATTATTTTAACTTCATCTATTTAAACCAAAAAAATTTACTGACTAGAAATTTGGGGCTTATTTTATTAAGTAATTTCCATTAATTAAAAGAACGAGTTTGTTTGCTGTCATTGTTCTAAAGCAAATAATTAAATTGAAGCCCTTGAATTGAGTTTGCTGAATTATTATCCATCTTTCAACTGATAAAACTTTTTCCAGTGGATACAGAGGACATTTTGTTCATTTTTGAATAGACAGCTAAATTATTTTCTTACCATGTGGAATTAAAAGAATTATAAACTGCAGTAATGAGTTGGAAAGGAAAATTAAATCAAGAACCCAAGTTTGGAACCCCTAGTTCCAAAATCTTGATGGCCTGAAATTACTGTTGTTTCATTACAAATACTGTGTTTAATCACCTTTCAGTGTGAGAAGTTTATATAAACTTAGTCTGTGTAGCGTAACATTCAGACTGAGAAACTACTTCAAAGGATTGCTGTGTGTTTGTATTTAAGATTAATTAAGTGCCTATCTGAATTAGCTTGTTACAAGACCTGAAAGAAATTGATTCCTAGTAATTGTAGTTCACTCTTTTATAATGTAATGTATTTATTCAGCTTTTTACTATCTTACCTTGCTTGAATTTATGTCTAGGGTATGCTCTTAGCTAAAGGAAACTGTTCATCGTGTGGAAGTGTTAATAGTTGTAAACTGGTGAGGTGTAGTGAGAGTCTGTGCTGACGTGGAGAATGCTGGAAGTTGTGCAGATGGAAAACCTCCGCGGTGCGATGGGTGTATTGTGCAGCATGGGTGTATTGTGCAGCATTGAGAGTCTGTGCTGACGTGGAGAATGCTGGAAGTTGTGCAGATGGAAAACCTCCGTGGTGCGATGGGTGTATTGTGCAGCGTGTACTTACTTCTGGACAGTAGTCTATCCCTGTTGCTTGAGCAGCAGCAATCTATTAGCTTTAAACTGAAACTGGCACTTGAAAAACGTACCACTTTAATATCATAGAATCATGGAATGGTTTGGGTTGGAAGGGACCTTAAAGACCATCCAGTTCCAACCCCCCTGCCACGGGCAGGGACACCTTCCACTAGACCAGGTTGCTCAAAGCCTCATCCAGCCTGGCCTTGAAGACTTCCCGGGATGGGGCTTTCATACTACTGGTTAAAGGAAAAGGGAGTGAGAATTTTAATTGTTTATATCAAAACTTTTGCTCTGGAAACAGTTTGCTTTGGAATTGATAAAAATGAGGCAAAAGTGTAGTACTTGAGTCCAAAGCTATCAGTAGGGTCATGAAATTTAACTTAAAGCCATTTTATATTGGCTATGTGCGTGTTATGAGTGTTTTCCTGGATTCTTTTGAAATGGAAAGCCCACATAGAAATGTGTTTTATCACACTTTTCGCGGTTGATGCATAAGCCTTGATGTGCAGAAGTATGTAACTGAATATATAGACGGGAATAGAAATGCCTATTTTGTGCCTTCTCACAACGCGATGCTTCACAGCGTTTATCTGTTTAGACATCCTTTCTGGGGCAGGGAAGACGTGCTACCTGTTTAATAGGCTGCAGGTTGTTTTAGTACAGGAAGATGTGACTTCTGCCTCTGTACCAGTAACTGTTATGTATTTTATTATCGGTGTATGCATCTGGTGTAACTAAACTGGTCGTTCAAAACCTTGATCTTTCTGTTTTCCTTAAGGAGCTGAATGCGGAATCAATGCAGAAGTGGAAAAACAACTTGAAATGGGAAAGAAGTTATTGGCTGCTGGACAGCTAGCAGATGCTTTGTCTCACTTTCATGCAGCTATAGGTACGTATTGCAGGAAAGCGACTCTTGCGCTGAAATACCTTTAGGTGTTTGGGTTTTTTCCCTACTATTTGCTTCATTAAATATTTACTTTCTTGCAAAGTGCATTCCGTGAGTCACAGAAGTTGAGGCACCTTTAAGCAGCAGTTTGGACAGGAGCCAACGGAGATGTGGTAGAATATTTATGCTTTGGCTTTGATAAAAGAAACTGCTAAATTCATTACAGGATAAGTGAAAACTAAGTCACTGGTGGTCTGCAAGCTGGCTGCATGGAAGCAATCATAATTGACTGTGGTATCGTTTGATGAGGTGTTCCTGTATCTAAATCCATCAAGACTAGATTTCATCTTTACGAAGTTTTTCAGAGTATGTTTTTGGAAAGTTGTGTTTGTCCATACTTTCTTCTCTCCAGCACTGGAAAAAATTGAATGTTGAAAATACTCTCTCTCGTTATTTTTTTTTTTAAATTAAATCTTCACATGGGTGATACCTCGGTGGAACTGATGCTACACGTTTGAGATAGTGAACTGTCAGTGAAGTTTAACTGCCCCTCTCTTACACTCAACTAGCGAGTGAGCTCTAGTTTTGGTGTTCTGCATTTTTAACCAACTGCAGAGTTAAATGTTTGCTTCTGTAATGTTTAAAGCAACTTTGCTGGTTAAAATCCTTGAATTGAAGTATAGAGAGAGGCAGCGCCAGTAAAGACCACTACAATTTCTCAATTGCATGGAGTCTTTAATTTTTTTAAGTGGTTGGACTTTGTGTACAAGTGCACAGTTTTCACTGTAAGACTTAGAACACTAAGGTATTACACAATAAGGACTCGTACTATTGAGACTTTTCTATTTATGCCTGGGTGTAATAGTGAGATGTAAATGAAATATCCTCTTACTCTGAGCTATTAATGTATTCTGTGAGTTCTCCAAAGTCAACTTCCATTACATAAAGGGAAACGAGGGGGAAACTTCTTTTTCTGTGCTATGGAAGCTCCTCATCCTACCAAGAGATGGTCTGTTACTCCTTTTGCCTCGTGTGCCGCTGCTGAAGCAATCCTGTGGGATCTGAGTACAACTGGTGTTAAACAGTGTTTTATTCTTTATTATGGGTTTAACTTGGATTTGGTGAAAAGTCCAGTCCAGGTTGTGACCATGCAAAGGCTGGTCATGGTGCAAAGGCAGCAGTGAGGTGCCCACATGGGATGAAACCCCCTGCTTTGCCAGCAGTGTTGGAGCAGCTGGTGGAACTACGGGGTCACCACCTCCGTTGTGACCTTGGTGGGATTCTTAGTTGAATGTTGATTCGGGCATGATTGCCTAAGCTCTCATCAGGCTTCTCTTTTTTGCATTTTGCCATTTTGAAAAGATTTTAAGCACCATTTGCCTACTGTGTTTGTAGAGGAGGGAGAAGAAATTTCTCTAATTTCTCTAAGAAATTTCTCCTTTTTTGTGTGTACTGCATCATTGTAGACTGTGAAGTCAATGAACCTTTCTCTTGCCTCAGCCAGCCTAATTTTCTTTTCTTGCAAACATCTAAAATAAAAGCAAGCTATGACTGTATTTTCTCTCTCTCTCTCCAGTTACATTTTCCACTCTTTCTTCAATCCCATCAAATTGATGGCTTTAATCCTTCTCTCTGGGTAAATGTCAATTGCTATTCATTACTGTTACTGGGGAGCTTAAGCAAAACCATATTTTGACTGTCAGAAAAATAATCTTATGTTGCTGGAATGTGCTTTCTGGGTTAGCTCTTTCCTGTCTTTCATCTTGTGTGTATTAATAAGGTTCTTTTATTTCAGCTATTGATTTGTGCCTACTCTACACACTTAGTTGTATGCAGTAGGACATACTACTTCATTTTTTTCTTTTAAAGTAGTGACAGTTGAATTTACTTCATGTCCATAATGCTGGAATACAAGCGTGGGAGTTATTAAAATTAATTTCTGGGTGTTAGCATTTCCATTTTTAAGAGTGTGGATATTAGTTCAGTTCTCACTGGAAAAGGTGTTTTGGTAATGGAGGTGGCCACTTATAAAGCTTAATTGTCAACCATAAGATTTTTGGTAATGCTATTTGTTCCATTTATTTGAAAGAGAGTGTTAAAATTGCTCGATCTTAGAAGTTTGACCAGCAGACAACATGGAATGTGTATGGGCCTTGAAGTTAGCCTTTGGGTTTTGGTAATACATGTGCACTGGTCTGCCCTTGGAGGGGTGTTGGTGCTCACTTGAATATTAAAGAAAGAAGCTGGATTTCAGTGGATGGTGTAAAGGGTCTATGTGTCTGTGACAACACTGGACTAACATATTGGTCGTTGGGGGATTATTGGCTTGCAACCTGTGTGATGGACAGGGACTGGGATGGAGAATGACGAGTTAACGTGCTTTCAAATGTAGGCCTGCAGCTGGAGATAAAGGGCTAGTGTGTAGTGGCTGTTTCCCTGGACAAAGCTGAAAAAGATGTACATTTTTCAACTTCAATCATTTGGCATTTATGGTGTCTCTGTAATCTTTATTGTTAAATAATCAGACTGCACAGAAAATATTGCTTGGATAATGTTACAAATGTTATGTTTTATCGAAAAACACAATTTTTCCCGTGGCTTAGAAGTCAGGTAACATATTCTTAATCATTATGGTCTCACTGTACCTGAAGTTTCAGTTCCTTTGAGATTGCACTTTGATTACTGTTTGTTCACTTGCAGAGGGAGACTCTGATAACTACATTGCCTATTACAGAAGAGCCACAGTGTACTTGGCCATGGGCAAATCTAAAGCGGCAATTCGTGATTTAAGTAAAGTGGTTGAATTAAAGCAGGACTTCACATCGGTAAGTATTACTGGAATTGAAAATTGCTCAAGCTTAAAAAAAAACTGCTTTGAAGATGATTGTTTTTTCAGATTTTGCTAAACAGAAATAGAAGAGAGCAGCCGTGAGGAGAAGGACTTGAGGGTACTGGTGGGTGAAAAACTGGACATGAGCCG